GCCTTATGTCAGTTCAGATCAGGATTATAGCACCAAATAATTTAAGAAAATGAGCTTTTGGGGTGCTGGTGTGGTGGCTCATGCTGTAATCCCAGTACTAGAAGAGGCCAAGTAGATCACTTGAGGTCAGGAGTTGGAGACCAGCCTGGCCTACATAGCAAAACCCCATCTCTACTAAAAATACAATTACTATCCTGGTGTAGTGGCACATGCCTGTCATTCTAGCTACTTGGGAGGCTGAGGCATGAGAATTGTTTGAACCCATAAGGCAGAGGTTGCAGTGAACCGACATCATGCCACTGCACTCCAGTCTGGAGACAGAACAAGACCCTATCTCAAAAAAAAAAAAAAAATAGAGAAAGAAAATGAGCTTTTGGATTTCAAAATTGGAAAAAAACTATCATGGATGCCTCCTAACACCTGAAAGCCACTAGAGCATGAGCAGTACAAAGAAACGGTACCAATTCATCGGCAAAGTATTTTAATGTACATGTTTGATTCATGCCATGATGGATGCCCAATACAGCAAATTAAATAAAAACAATCTGTTTCCTCATGGTTAAACATAAACTCTGAAAAAAATAAATAAATAAATCAACCAAGGAAAGGAGCCACCCCAAAAATGTACACTAGTAAATTTCAGAAGAAACAATTACACAAACCTAAAATATTTACAGTAAATTTAAAATTACATTATAAATCAGACTCATCAGCATCCCTCCTTGTTTAAAGTTCTCTGCTATACCTGTTTATTCTAATGAGAAAAATCAAAGATATCTTAATCCACAATTTACACAAATCCAAACTTACAAATATGTGTTTGTAACAAAAGGTAGGCCCATATAATATTTATAAAATGCATATCTACAAGGAATAGTGTAACTGGTAAAAGGGAAATAATATATGCTCAGAAGTCAGAGGAGATCCAAGGCTTCTGTCAACTAAACTTTGTTCTTTCCAAATCCACTTATTTGTGAAAGGTCATTTGGCAGAGGTAAAATCACAATCTTGCACTGAAGCTACCTTAGCACAACTTTGAAAAACTGTCAGGAATTCTTGTTAAGACCTTTGTTAAGCAGTTGTTCTTATAATATTACTATGGATTAGGTCACTTAAAATTTATTTTTAGTCAAACACCATGTGGTAAAGCGTGAAAAAAATTTCAGGGTTATTTCTGTTTGTCCCATTGTGGGGAATCAGGACCTAGACAAATGCGACAAGGTGGCTCTAACTACAAAGTCACAGTGCTTCTCTCTGCCTTCCTGCAGGCTGCTACAGTGTGCCAGAGGACACAAGCAGAGGCGCTGAAGGGAGTGTGAATCACAGGACCAAAGGCCCAAAGGCACTACTATGTTTCTCTAAAACACACATGCTTCTCGATTTACGATGGGGCTACATCCAGATAAATCCCTCCTGAGTTGAAAATACATTTAACACACAGCAGAGTACCTGTTGTTTACTCTCGTGATCACACGGCTGACTGGTCACAGCTCACTTCCATTGTCCAGCATCCAGAGAAAGTATTTTACTGCATATCATTAGCCCAGGAAAAGATCAAAATTCAAACCTTAAAGTATGGTTTCTACTGAATATGCATCAATTCTGCACCATTGTAAAGTCCAACCGTCAGTCCTAAATAGAACCATTCTAAGTTGCTGTGAAACTTTTTTAAAAGAAAAAAAGGAAAAAAAAAATCTATTCTTTTTGCTGGTTAGTCACTTAAATCTTGGGTTCATCGTCCGCAGTGAAATACAGTAACATCCATATTATGGAGGTATAGTGAAAAACAAAATAAAACTAACTTGTAAAGTTCTTAGCGAAGTGCGTAACACACATAGGTGTTCAGGAAATCACAGATAATGATTACAAATTCCTGCTCTCTATAAGAACCCCAGAGCTGCCAAAGGCAAGCACAGTCCCAGGGATTCAGGAAACTCTTATTAGTCTCACCCCAATTCCTCTGCTGGCGAAAGCCCCAGTAAGAGTTGAGAAACAGCATTCCAGGTTGGACACATGGAGATAACTAGAAGGCTAGAACCTTCCTTTCAAGAGCCCAGAACCTGAAGTCCAGAAAGAAATCTCCTAAATCCACCATTCTCTGCCTTTCTCAACTCAACTGAAAAGGACAGGAATAGAGATCTATGGGTCTTAGAAATATGGCACTAAGATTAGTAATTAACTGCTTCCTATAAAGCAATTTTGGTAACTGTCTCATGAACAAATGGCTACGAATCAGATATTCAAAAGAATATAATGAAGAGGAAGTCAAAATGAAAGATGAATTGAACTTTTTATACCTAAAACCTCCTCCTATGGCCGGCACCACTCAGATGAATGCCAGAAATCTCTTATAAGAGTGGATGTGAACAAACACACTCAGTCATACACTATAAGGAAAACTCTAAATATAATGGCTGTAGGCTTGCCACTCTCTTTTTCACCATCATGTCCAGTTAATTTTACTTTTGCCTGCCTTACTTTTTTGACACTGACTTGTTTGTATTAACATCCTTCAGAGAAACATTTTAAGACTTTTCAGTAAGTCATGCAACCACAAATAACTAGAAATAGAAATCTAATAAATGCAAATATAAGTCAAGGAATAAGGAGATCTTCATTCCATTTATGATTTCACCTCCAATCCTTTGTATGGCTTTCTGGGTGGGGTGAAGAACTGGATGGCTAACCTTGGTTCATAGCTTGTGTGCTATTTTTAAATATTAAAAAACTTCCTAGGCAAAAATTACCAAAAAAATGCATCTACTGGGATTATAGATATTTAGCATCTCCTGTTTATCTTCTAAAATATTTTCTTGGGGTTCATGTAGTTATAGTAAATTAACAATTGATTTCTCCCCAGTTCTTCTCTAGTTCTTATATCAAAATAAGGCACTTGTCCAGGCCACTAGGGAGAGACATAGAGTCTTCACATCAGTTTCTTGGCAGTTGTGTGCCATGTTTCATAGGAAGGACCCATTAATTGATGTGTCCTTAAATGACACATGCCCTGCCAAGGTTTTAGTCACCCACTGGGGAACAACACTTTAGTGGAGCAATGAAATACTGCTTCGAGGTCTATGGAACTCAGAGATGACGTTTCACATGGAAAATTATGTTTTATCACATGGATAAAGAACCCACATCATATACAGAATACTAACCCATATTCACCATACAAAATATAAAAGTGGTTAAATGTGAAAAGCAACATTTGCAAACAAAAATGCATAGAGATTTTCACGGCAATGGTAAAATTTGCCATATCACCAATGGCAAATTTTATATCACCAATGAAGACAATTTTGAAAGTTAAAAATAAGTTAACTTTTTTATCCTCCAATCTCATACCTATACATAACACACACACACTCAGGGTACATTAATTCAAGACTAACCCAGCAGTGAGTGACTATCATACAAGATAAGCTATTGGCTTATCAAGGAATGCTTCTCTTTTACTTTCTACAGCACATTTTCTTACTGTAAACCAAAGTAAGTGATCCCAGGCAATACGAAGATGTTGCCTTACTAAATCATACTTTTACTAGTTTTGACTATACAAAAACAGTAAATAAATAGGTACTGCAAAATCAAGGACTCAAATTATCAAAAGCATTATTGAGCCCAATATTACATTTCTGTGGTATTTAAGAACAGAAAGATATTTTCATCACTATAGTTATACCAGTGTAAGTACAGGCACTGAAAATTATTTTTGCAATTCACAGAATGCAGTGTGTTCTGCAATTTAATGTATATTGGTTTTACTCGAGATATTCCCTGAACCCCTATCTTAAATTATTATAGATTCCAACATTTTAATGTTTCCCCAAAATTTAAACACAAAGGTAGTTTGAATTTCAAAAATTAGTCTTCTTAATCTTAAAATGTATTTCAAAATACAACTGAGTAGGCTATTTATTTTCTACACATTGTGTATGTGTTAATCAATAAAGTCAAATAAAGTTAACTGTAACACACTACAGGTACCTCTCCACTTGCCACCGGTTGAAATAAACCACTGCGGTGTAGTTCCAGCAAGAGGCTCCACAAGTGTTTGAACTGAAATGTCTAATATAACTTATTCAGGAATTCCCTTAAGCATACTCTATAAGGTTATGGCAAATATGAACTTTTTAGGTAAAAATATAGTCTTTTAGAAGAGCCAGTAAGAACAAACAAAAATCCTTTTTGGAAATCAGAATGCCTCAAAAGTATGTTGGCAACATTTTTAAACAAAGAATTAAACAGCTCTAAAAGAAAACAAAACAAACAGAAAAAAAAAAAAAAAAAAAAAGAAAAGGAAAAAAAAAAAAAAAAAAAAAAAAAAAAAAAAAAAAACACCTTAGTTTTAGTATCTCAAGACCAGACTTTAGGAATGAAGAGCTTATAAAGTTGAAACAAGCAAGTTGCCTTGCTTGATTGTGATCTAACTGACTCTAATCTTCTGCTACATCTCAAGTCTGACCAACTTCAAGTGAACTCTGAAAGCTCTGGAGCCTGGTTACTAAAGTCCCTGACAGGTTTTTCCAAAGTCGCGCACAGCGCCCGGTGCTCCGCAGACTATGAACACTCCGGGAAAGTAAGGCTGGGTTGACTGATCACCAGTGTCCCCGAAACTGTTTGGAGTCCCGTGAATCAGTGGGGAAAGAAAGGAGCATTTCCCGACCAGAATGAACTCCTGCTCTCCAGAGCCCCGTTGACTGGGCAGTGTTCAAGACCCCCTGGTTGCCCGAGAGGAAAGCAGTCTGAAACACATTTCGTGATCCCCGTCACTGGGCACCTCTCTGGGCCCTTCACTCGGGTAACTTCCTTGCCTCTCTAGTAACAACTTTCTGTTTAAAAAGAAGAAAATGTTTCTGCAAAGCTGCGTGCACTGAGCCCAGTCACTCTGCATTCCACGCACATAGCTGAAAGCACACACGCTTTACCCCGCGCACGATCTCGGGTCCCCCGCAGTCCGCACCGGACCCCGGGACCGGCGGGATCCGGGCACCTACCGTGGCCTCGCCGGCGTCGGGCTCCGCGTCCGAGAAGTCGAGTCCGGACTCGAAGGCTGCGGCGGCGGCGGCGGGCGCCTCGCGAGGACCCGGGAGCAGCGCAGCGGCGAGCAGAGAACACGCCACAGAGAAGAAGCCCAGCAAGTGCATGGTGGAAGGACCGGGGGTGAGGGACCGGTCCGCTGGCGGGCAGGGGTGGGGGCGCGGGCGCCCCTGCGAGGCCGCGGGCCCCTCCTCGTCCCTCTCCCCCGGGCTCCTCCCGGCGACCCCCCTGGGCGAGCCAGAGGCGGCGGGAGCGGGTCCGGGGCTCCGCGTTCCCAACTTTGCAGGGCGCCCTCCCAGCCAGTGCCGGGGAAAGGCGGCGCGCGTCAGGTAAAAGCCTCACAGGAAACCGGACATCCGAGCTCCCCGCATTCGGAGCCCGCGAGGTGAAGCGAGGGCGAGGGAGGGCGCCTCCGCGGTCCGCGTCGGTGCCGCGTTTTGGAGAGAGGGGGGGAAGGCCAGAACGCCCCGCGATGTTCGGCCCCTCCGGACCCGCCGGAGCCCTCGTCCCCCTCCCCCCTCCCCTTCCCCGAAGTGAGACGAGCCGGGCCGCGGGCGCTGCGGCGGAGGCGCTGGCGGCGGTGCCGGGGGCTGGGGGAGGGCGGCGGGGCGGCCGGCGGCGGCGGGGCCCGGGAGCGCCGCGGCGCAGGAGCCTCCAGAGCGCGCGGGGCCGAGCGGCGGCGGCGGCGGGCGCAGGGCAGGGCATGGCTGACGCGCCCTCTGCCTGCGCTTATGTGAGGGAAAGCGGCCGAGGGAGGGAGCGTGCCGAGCCCGGGCTGCCCTCCCCTCTCACCCTCCGAAGCCGTCTCCCTGGAGCTCCCCGCTGCCCTCGCCTCGTCCCCGGCGGCCCCACCTCCCCCGGCCCCGTCTCGCTGTCTCCCTCCCCGCCCCCGCCCCGTCCGGGAGCGCGCGGCCGGAGGGGCAAGTTCAGTGCCCGGGCAGGCGGGGGCCGGCTTTGGAGGTGACGCGACCACCCGGGGCCACGTGGAGCGGGGAAAATCTAGGCACCGTGGGATGGAGGAAACCCACCCTTTGTCCTCGGCAGCTCCTGGCCGGGCTCTGGTCCTCTACCCACCACGCCTGGCCCCCAGCACCCTGCTCAAAGTGTGGAAACGCCCTGGGAATTCTAAAAGTTCCAAGAGAAGGATCTTACTATGGCAGAGAACCCTATGGGACCTCAGAGGGGTCTCCTCTCTCCCTTCGTCTGTGTAACTGAAAGTTGCCTGGTGATGCCAGAACTGCACTGCAGCTGCTGGGATGGATGCTAATGTGAGCCCTTTGGAATCCTAAACTTCTGACAGGTGAAGACAAGAGCCAGCATCTTCATGGAGAGTAAAGAGACACAGGGTCAGCTTCTACAAGAAGTTGGTTTACTTGAAAAAGGGGGTGATAAAGAGAGATGTGTGAGAGACATATTCCAGAAAGGATGTAACATCCAGAGAAAAGTGACTGCATTTCCGCATTGGAAAAGCACTGGGGTCTCTGTTGTGCGGGTGCCATTGGCTGGTTGCCTCCCTGGAGCAGGGTGGGCAGGTTGCAGAGAACCACGCTAAGGGGAGTTTCCACAGAATGTAGAACATGGAAAGTCTCTTTCACTCCCAATCTACTTTTAAGTACACTTATGTTATAGGTCCATAACAACTTGCTGGAAAAAGAGACTTTCTTATCTGGTTCAACTCTAGAAGATTTGAAACTCCTCACCCATAATTTACTTGAAGGTTTAACTATCTCAAAGGGCAGGGAACTCTCCATTCTGTGTGACTGTTCACTCCCTTTATTGATGAGCAACCCTGCTGAAAAGCATTTCCTTCCATCTCTCTATTGCTTTTGACATCTGGAGTTTTGCACAATAAATCTAATCCACTTCCACAACTGAGTCCTTCAAATATTTTGAAAATATTTGTCATGGTCTCCCTAAGCTAACTTTACTCCTGGCTAAATATCCTTTTTATTCCCCAGGATGACAGTTCCAGTTTCCTTTAACCATACTGTTAGCGTTCCATGTTCATGAAGTATGCTGTTGAGAACATGGCTCAGTACTCAGTGCTGTAATAAGTATGCAGAAGGGACAGTATGCCTTTGTTGACACAGCCTTGGATTGAGTTTATTTTCTGGCAGCCAAATCACAGTGTTGACTCACACTACCCTTAAAGTCAACAAAATTCCTCAATAATTTTTCATGTGTACTGCTACTTAGTCACGTCTAAATTGCTCTGCATTTATGGAGTCAGTTTACTATACCCAAGATGCTTTTTTATGTATCTTTATGAAATTCCATCCTGTCCAACTCGGTCCATGATCCAGCCTGTTGAGATGCTTTGTGATTTGGAACATGGTCAATGTATCACTCCTCTTGCTGTCTTCTTGCTATGTGCATATTTGATCAGCCTGCCATAGTTGTCTTCAGACACTGATAGATCTGTGAAAAGAGAACAGCTAAGGGCAGACTGGGGCAAGATTTAAATAGAAGGTGGAGTTTCCATTCAACCATTTGCTATTACAGTGATTCTCAATTTTGATTGCACTTCGCATCACAAAAGGACATTTCAAAAAAATAGATGCTTGAGTACACCTTCTGAGATTCTGGTTTAACTGGACATCAGGATTCTAATAGAAAATTCTCAATTTTCTAACCAAAATTGAGAACCACGGGCATTTGCAGCACCCACAGGCCTAGCAGTGGGTGAAAACTGGAAAAATCAACAAACTCAAAATATATCCAAAATGTATTAATATCATATTAACTATTCTACTATTTAAATACAGCAGTAAGCACATACTAACTTTTTTTCTTTCAAAAATGTTATCTTCCTGCTGTTATATTTTGAGTCAGAAAATGCTGGCAAAAAGTATACTTGAATTAAAAAAAAAAAAGTCTCCAAAACACAATCTTGCAGTGGTTATTTAAGAATGCCTTAAAGGTAAAAAGGAAGAGTTGCTCAGGTGCTCAAGACTTTTATTTATTTTTTCTTCTTTACTTCCTGGAAACATTTTTGCCACTAGCAGATTTTAAAGGTTAAGAAAGTCCTTTTCGCTGGTTTGTGAGTTCATCACTAGCTTCATGCAAGACCTATTTTACCACAGGACTTCTAAATCTGGTTTTTCAGAAAGCATTGCTCAGTCAGTGGAGAAAGAGAGATAGGTGGACAGGCCCCAGCCAAAATAATACCTCTTTATGTTTAGGTATTGAGTTTTTGTTTTCTTTGATGATAGGGTTTTTTTTTGTTGTTGTTGGGGGAGGGGGTGTTGGCTTGGGGGGAAGGGAGTCTTGCTCTGTCTGCCAAGCCAGAGTGCAGTTGGAGTGCAGTGGCACCATCTCGGCTCACTGCAACCCCCCTGGTTCAAGCTATTTTCTTGCCTCAGCCTCCAGAGTAGATGGGAGATGATAGTTTTTGATGGCAAAATAGTGTTGATAATATACCATTGTACTTTCTCTAATATCCATTCTGAACGTCTACTTTATTTCTGATTTGTTAGTTCCCACCTTCTTGCATTCTTTACTTTGTCGCTTCATTTCAAGCTTTTTTAGTTGAATGCTCAGTTCATTTTTCTTCTTTTTAGTTTAAAAATACAAGTTTTGGGCCATGTGTGGTGGCTCACATCTGTAACTCCCAGCATTTTGGAAGACTGAGGAAGGAGGATCACTTGAAGGTAGTTTGAGACCAGCCTAAGCAATACAGCAAGACCCCATCTCTCAATCAATGGACCAATAAAATGCAAGTTTTGTCTTAATTCTGCTTTATCTTTGTTTCTCAATTTTGACACATAGTGCCTTCTTTGGCAAACAGTTGCAAATATATCTTAATTTGTTTATTTTTTAACCAAGAAAGTTATTTGTGTTTTTTCAGTTTAGGGATATATGATTTTCATCAGTTTCTCATTTTATTATATTTAATTTTTGCTATAAATGATGTTGCTTTTAGAAATGCATTCAGGCTTTCTTTGTAGTCCTGGACATGGTTGATCATGGCAACTAATTCTGTGTGTGCTTTATTTTTGTGGGGTATTAATTTTGAACTTATTATAAGATTCAAATCTTGCTTGGGAATGACTTGTTAAAACCTTCATTTATAATTGTTGACATTTTTTCTGTTTCTGACTGTAGTTCTTTCTTTTATTTTGTAAAATAATGTGATACTATATAATTTTTCACTAATTTCCTTCTTAATAGTGTATAATGTCCTTTTTTTAAACTTCTGGTATTTTTATTTGAAGTTCTATTTTTTCTGATATTAAAATCATAGGCTTTAAGAATTGAGATCATCTGTGAACATGACTTAGGTAAAACTATGAACCAGTTATGTACATATAACTTAGCTGTTTTTTCTAGGAAACTTTAGGCTGGAAAAGATAAGACTGCAACCTGGTACTTAAATTCAATGTCTGTTTCAGGAAATGCTGGCAAACCAATATATTCAGGACAATAGTATTCTGACTCTGGTAAACAGCCTGCTTATTAATGACAGTTTTCTTACCCAAACTCTCACTTGTGTTAACCAATCCCAAAGTATTATATCATGAACTTTGCCCAATCCTCCTCAATTCCCCACTTTGAGAACGCCTCCTTAAACCACTCGTGTCCAGAATCCAAAGCTCGACAACTATTCTGCTTCTGACTTACCCCAAGATACCCTAAGACCCTGTCAACGTGGCACACTCCCTTACTGCAGTAGGGTAACTTTTGTTTATAGAAAGATTTTCTGCTGATATTTTTGGGTGTTCAACAACTTAGAGGTCCCACTGAAATCTGCTTCCTTGTTGCTCAAATAAAGATCCTAAATTCAAAAATAGTGCAAATCAGTGAGGCCTCTTGAGCTTCCTGGCTTGAGGGATGAATCACTCTGACTACAACAAAGGGTTAAGTCTCCCCTTAGATTTCAGTCCTAATTTCTTTTTATCAAGCTACCAAATGCAAAATGTATTTTGTTCCCTAAGATCTCCTTTCAAGAACTCTTTGATTATTTGATCAGACTTGAAAAAAAAAAAAATGTATCCTCAATAAGTATCTGCCTTATTACTATTGCTTTCTATTACTGCTGTCTTCATAATTTTCTCTTGGGAGTCAATAAAAGGAAGTTCATAAGAGAATAAACGCAGGCCCTGTTAAGTCAATTTACTGAGCCAGCCCTTGGGGCTAGAGTCCCAAAAAGTGTGTCCTCAGATTGGCATTGACTAGACAGATATTGCCATAAACCTTAGCAAAAGCTTATACAAGGTTTTGAAGACCCGTTTTGTCTGTGAGACACTGATTTCAAATGAGATCTCTTGGTCCAACTTTCCATCTTCCCAAACTGCTCATTTATCTGGCTTACCACTGGAAACTGTCTAACCTTTAGTGTGAGGAGCGAAGGGCGTAAGATACACAAACAACTCATTTTTCCAACCATTGCCAGATTGTTATGCCTATGTCTCAGACTAAACCCAAGTTCATATC